TATAGCACTCTGTTAGGTACATACCACGGTGCGTCCACCGCTTCACTCAGAGTGCCATGTTTTGTTGAGCTTGGAGCCTCTTCTTCATCGTTTTGGAAACGTAGCCCCAAGCTACTGCTGCGTAAGTCATGATTTGTAGCAGCACCATCTGAATCATGATGGTCTTATTCTTTAGTGACACTTTGCTTCTTCTGCCCGTTAAGGGTCTTAGTTTGGAGCGTGCCATCTTCACTTTCTGCACCCGGTCTTCGACATGGTTCTTCCAAGTGAGTTTCTGGTCCATCTTGACTCCAAGGTATGTGCTGGAGTCTTTCCAGTCGACCTCAACCTCTTCATCTCTTCTCCAGCCTCTCTCCATTCTGGTGGTCGTCATCTTTATTTTGGTCTGAGGTAATCTTCGATTTCTTCGGAACAGTACCGCTTCGGTCTTCTCGGGGTTGAGGCGGATCTTCCACTTGATGCACCATTCCTCTAGGTTGGTGGTCGCTCGTTGCAGATATTCCGTAACCATGCGGGGTCTCGTACTTTCTGCCGCATATGCTGTATCGTCCGCATACACATACAGTTGCGTTTGAGGAGTCTTCGGGATGTCTGAGCTGTAGATTGGATACAGCAGGGGTGGTAGAACCGCTCCCTGCGGTACTCCTGCCTCCACAGTCCTCGTCGTCGAGGTTGTTTTACCGATCCTAATTCGGAAATTTCGGTGCTTCAAGTAGGACTTCACCAGTTGGATCATCCCCTTTGAGTATCCGTGGTCTACCATCTTGTAGATCAGTCCGTCATGCCAAACAGTGTCGAACGCCTTTGCGGCATCCATGAACACAGCTCCCACGGCCCGCCGAGTCTGGAACGATTTCGTTGCCATCTCGACCAGCCTTAGGACCTGGTGCTCTGCTGAATGCCCGCATCGGAATCCGAACTGTTCGTCTGGAACTACTCGGAGTTCTTCGGTTTCGTTCTTCAGTCTTCGTTCGATTACCCTTTCCGCAATCTTGCTCAGTGCCGTCAACAGGCTTATGGGTCTGTAGTTTTGGGGGAACCTGGTCTTTCCCAGGTTTAGGAATGTTGAACACATCGGCTACTTTCCAGTGATCTGGAAAGTACCGGTGTCTCAGTATGGCGTGACGATGTTGGTAATTGCAATTATCGCTTTCCTCGGGAGTCTCTTCAGGACTCTGTTCCCAATATCGTCTACACCCGGTGCCTTCTTCACCTTGAGTCTTTCGATGATTTCCCTTACCTCGCCTGGAGAGGGCATGTCTTCGATGGCTCTTCTCCTCTGACAGCTCTCCTCGATCTTCTCATCACCTCGTCGATGAAGTCTTCGTCTTCATCGGGGTGAGTATTGAGATTACCACTGTCTCTGAAGGTTGTCAGCAAAAGCTTCCGCCTTCTCTTCGGTTGTGTACACCATCCCCTGTTCGCTGTGTATTGGGGGGATGGGCTGTCTTCTATTTCTGAGGATTTTAGCCAGTTCCACATTCCTGGGTCAGCTGGAGATAGTTCGTCGAGTTTCTTATACCAGGTGCTCTGATGGTGCTGCTTTCAAGGCGTCTCGTGCCTGTCTCATAAGTCTGTTTGCCACCATGATGTCAGTGGGGCTTCTGGTCTCCTGGGCTACTCTTCGGGCTCTGTTTCTTTCGGTGATCTTGCGATTTACCTCGTCAGGTAGGGTCCCTGAACCTGTTGGTTGCGTTATGTCATTCCACGGTGGTTGCGGCTTCTAACGCAGCCTTAATCTTCCTTTCTAGGTCCGTGACCGCTTCTTCTATGCTTTCGGGGCTTTCGATCTGTAGTAGTGGTCCTTGTGAATAGTGCCAGTCTGGTTCTAAACCGCTGCCAATTCACTCTCTTCACTGTTCTTTGTTCCACAGGTGTTATCCCATCTCCCGTACAGAGAAAGATGGGGTTGTGGTCTGAGCTTCCCTCTTGCATGGCGCCGATGGTGGTGCGCATGTCGATTTCCTTCAGAATCGCCATATCTATGACGTCTGGTCTACCTCCGTTGCTGGGTATATTGTAGGTTCGTCCGGACCTCATGGTATATCCAGGTTCATCCATTAGTCTTTCCAGAACAGCGCCGTGACTGTTTCTGTTTCTTGAGCCCCAAATGGTGGACTTCGCGTTTAGATCACCTCCGATCACGGTACTGTTTCCCAGTGCAGTGATACAGGTGACATCTTCCAGATATTTACGGACTTCTTCTATACAGATATATATATATATATATATATATATATATATATATATATATATATATATATATATATATATATATAGAGAGAGAGAGAGGAGAGAGAGGAGAGAGAGAGAGAGAGAGAGAGAGAGATAGATGAAAAGATTAAAAATAACGACCACAGCTAATTATCATTTGCATTTTATCATAACATAGTGGTTCTGAAAAGAACCGTTTTTTTTTTGTTCTTATTTTTCGAACCGTATAACCGTCGAAGCGAATACAACGTCTATATTATTTTGGAACTGGTTACTTGGTGACGGCTTTGGTACCTTCGCTGACTGCGTGCTTGGCCAATCCTCCCGGTAGCAATAGTCGTACGGCTGTCTGAATTCTCTGCTAGTTATCGTGGCACGTTTGTTGTAATGTGCCAATCTGGAAGCTTCCGCAGCGATACGTTCGAAAATATCGTTGACGAAGCTGTTCATGATGCTCATCGCTTTGCTGGATATACCCGTATCGGGATGTACCTGCTTCAGTACTTTGTAGATGTAAATTGCGTAACTTTCCTTCCTCCTGCGCTTCTTTTTCTTGTCAGATTTTGAGATATTCTTCTGCGCCTTGCCCGCTTTTTTGGCAGCCTTACCGCTAGTTTTGGGTGGCATTTTATTGTGAGATGATGCTGAGTATAATCGACACCAACGCTCGACTAACGGAACGACTTTTTTTTTTTTTTTTTTTTTTTTTTTAACGAGGGGGGAATGCATTTACGCACCATACCATAGCACGAGCTACGACGTGTGTGGGGCTCCAGGGTCTTGAAGAGATCACCTAATACCCACTAAACCCTAAACCTCGCGTGGCCCGACTCATCAGCGTCTCGGTAGGCCATGTGTTGTGCGTGACCTGCGGTCTGCTACAACGTCTCCTCATGTGTTTCAGTCTCTGGGAACGCCGGGTTGGTTCCCTTTACCTCGCACATTCTATCGATGTCGTTAAGCGATCATCGATAGAGGGTCTGCTAGTTTCTCTTGAAACTCTTGTTTTCGAAAATCAAGAGTTTCAAGTCATCTTACCAATATGTTGTTCCTGGTCCTGGTCCTGAAGGGTCCTGGTCCTGGTGGGTCCTGGTCGTGGCGGGTCCTGGTCCTGGTTGGTCCTGGTCCGGTGGTTCCTGGTCTCTGCATCCACGCCGTGGGGGGGGGGAGCAGCCGCAAATTCTCCTAGTCCTCCTAGTCAAGGTTCCAGTTAGCGGGTGCCAACTGGGACCTTGGTCTGGGGTACCTGGTTCTGCGGTTGCGAGGCCTCTCGTCCGGATCGTAGTCCATGAGGAATCGTAGCTGCTCGTTCGGGTGGTCCTGAGCTTTCTCGAAGGTCTTCTCCGCTTTTTTCCTCATGTACTCGTGGATGTATCCCAATGCAGGTCTCTACGCAAGGTTGAGTTCCTTACGTAGGAAGGTGCATTGGTGGCGATCCGGAGTAGCTTCATCTCTAGAGCAGCAAGTCGCTTGCGGTAGCTGGGGGCAGCGTACCCCCAGACCGCGGAGGCGTAAGCGAGCTGAGGTCTGGCGATGGCCTTGATCAGCCGTAGCTTGGTCGCTAGCGGCATCTGGCTGTGTCTACCCAGTAATGGATAGAGTTGAGCCATGGCTGCTCTGGTTTTTGCGATGACAGCTTCTATGTGCGCTTTCCAGGTGAGGGACTTGTCAAAAACGATCCCCAGATATTTGACATTGTCGCTCCACTGGATATCTTCATCGAAGATGGATGCTTCGAGAGGTCTTGCAATCCTTCTTCGTTGAATGAAGATTGCCTGCGTCTTCTGGACGTTGATGCGGATTTTCCATTTCACGCACCAGTCCTGAATTTGGTCCAGTTCACCCTGTAGTCTCCTACGGATGATCTCGGGTCGTCTATGCTTGGCGGCTATAGCAGTGTCGTCTGCATATAGGGCCAGCATTGTGTCAGCTGTCTTCGGCACATCGTAAGTATAGATGTTGTAGAGCAGGGGGGCTAAGGCTGACCCCTGGGGCACGCCTGCTTCCAGCTGACGTCTTGTTGAATGGCATGTACCAATCTTCACCGTGAACCATCTTTGTGTTAGATAGCTCTGGATCAGTTGGCACATGTTCGCATCGATTCCGGCGGCTTCCATTTTGGCGATGAGTCCATCGTGCCAAACTCGGTCGAAGGCTCGTTCCACGTCCAGCAGGACGAGACCGGTTGCCTCCTGGAGATTGAAGCCGCTGGTGATGTTTTCCGTCAGTCGTAGCGCTTGGAGTTCCGTGTTGTGGGAGGATCTGAAGCCGAATTGCTCTGGGGGGAGAAGTTGCAGTTCTTCTGCCTGCTTCTCTAGTCGAACGGCGATAGCCTTTTCGACTACTTTGCCCACCGAGGAAACCAGGCTGATGGGCCGGTAGTTCTGGGGCAACTTCCGGTCCTTGCCTGGCTTGGTGAGCATTATAACCTGGGCTTCCCGCCACCGCCGCGGGAAGTGGTTAAGTCTCAGAGTGGCATTGGCGATGTTGGTGAGCGCAGCAATGCCTTTGGTGGGAAGGTTCTTCAGCATCCTATTGTTGATGCCGTCCCTTCCCGGCGCCTTTCTGACCTTCAACCTGCGGATGATCAGACGGATTTCCTCCGGACTGGAGGGGTGATCCGTCTCCTGGCCAGGTGGTCGACTCCTCATGTTTTCGGCTGCGACTTCCACGGCCTCCTCGTGGTTGTCGTCTTCGTCTTCATGGTAATTGAGTCTGCATTCGGATTCTAGCGAATCGGCGAATGCTTCGGCTTTTTCTTCACTGGAGTAGGCCAAGCCGCGTTGGCCGTGAAGAGTGGGGATCGTGGTGCGCTGACGACGAAATTTTCGCTGCATAGACCAGGCCGTACCATCCTGGGTCTCTAGTTCTGCACAGGCTGCATTCCATCTGTTGTTTTGGAGTTCCGCGAGTGCGTTCTTCAGAGCTAACGATGCTCTGTTTCGCGCAACTCTCGACTCCTCTGTCAACAGCTGGAGATGTTCTCGCTTGAGTCTTCTGTTCTCCCTGATCAGGTGCCTAATATGGTGCGGTGCTGGACCATTTAGGTATCTAGGAACTGCCGTAGTCTCGGAGCGGGTGCTGCCCTCGTGCGCTCGCAGGACAGCATTCTCCAGCTCCTCTACTGCGTTGTCCAGTTCCTCCGCTGATCGGATGGTTGGAATTTGAGTGATGTTCCTCTGGACGTTGGATTTGTAAAGGTTCCAGTTCGTCCGTTTGGTGCTCAAGCTATCTCGAGTTCTAGACCCTGTACCAAGTGTTAGTAGAATCGGATTGTGGTCCGACGATCCTTCCACCAGGGTCTCTATCTCGAACTCCTCTCTGATGTTGCGGAGGATGGCTATGTCCAGTACCGCAGGTCGCCCAAGGCCGAATGGAATGTAGGTTGGTTGCTCCGGACCGACGATGACCCCCGCCAGGGCATCGACGTGTTCCTGGAGCTGCCTTGCATTCCTGTCTTCGACGTTGTTGTTCCAAGCCGGAGACTTGCAGTTTAGATCTCCGATGACTATGCGTGCTCCTGGGCCTCTCAGGAGGTCAGCGATGTCATCTTCGTCTAGGGCCTCCCCTGGTGGCACATATAGGGAGGTGATTCTGTAGGGACGGTGGTTGTGATGGACCTGGACCGTGATTCCGTCCCCATTTATGTCTGCGGCATCGTCGAGGACATGACTCGTCAAGGTACGTTTGACGAGTAATGCGACTCCTCCACCTCTGCCCCTTCTGTCGTACCGGTACGTCTCGTACCGCGGGAACGTCAGACTATGGGCAGCATCCAACTTCGTTTCTTGGATGGCCATCACCTCTGGTTGGTACTGGTCTAGTATCTCCTGGATTTCTGGTTTCCGTGCCCTGAAACCGTTGATGTTCCAGGAGATAATGCGTAGAGATTCTACGTTTTGACCTGTAGACATTTCGGGTCTAGTGCTTGTCTTGCATCTTGGCCTCGAGTGCATCCAGGCGGGTTATGATGGCTTGCATCATTGCTAGCAGTCTGTCATCGCCGTGTTGCTTCTGCGCAGTAGTTCCAGTAGCAGTGGCGGCTGCTGGGGCAGAAGTGGACATAGGCTTCTTCACTTTTTGGGCGTAAGAAGTCCTATTTGTGGTGGGGACTGCTTTGGGGGCAGAAGCAGCTTTCTTCGGCGCCTTACTACATCCCTTGTAGTTGGCGGGGTGGCCTTCTCCACAGAGGCAACACTTGGCGTTTCGTTGCCCTGTTGGCGGCGCTGGCAGACTGCAGCTGGTGCTGTTGTGGTCCTCTCCACACTTAACGCACCGTTCAGCGAGACGGCAGTTCCGCTGTGTGTGCCCGTACCGCTGGCAGCGGTAGCACTGGCTGGGCTCGGAAGACTTTTTCTTCCTCTCGAAGCTGACCGTGAGCATGGCCAGCCTCTGGATCTCTGCAAGCTTTTCCGGCATCTTCGTCTTGACGAGGAAGAGCGGAAGTGGCTTCTTTGTGGTCCTTGAGGTCAGCTGCTGAACCACGGCGTCTGCGATGCCTTGGCTCTCCAGATCCTCTTTGATGTCATTGACTGACATCTCTCTCGGAAGCCCACGAATGACCCTCTGGTCCATCCTGTCCTCCTTCAGTTGATATGTGAAGAAGGGCCGCTTGATGGATTCAAGCAGTGCGACTAGCTGACGGTAGTCAGCTGGTGTATTTGTGAATACCTTCACACTGGTACCCCGCCGTCCTCGCTTTGGAGAATTGAATCCCCTTGCTGTTCATCATCCTACTCAAGGATGACCAATCAGCGGTGCCCTCGATGTTGATTGGCGGAACTCCTGTTCCTGCCATGGGGCCTCGGTGGTCCTGGTTGCTCTAGGACCACTCTTCTTTGTGGCAGCTGGCATCTTTCGCTGCCTGGGTTCTTCTTCTTCTTCGGAGGAGGAAACTCGCACCCGCTTCCTCCGTCTGGTGGCGACACTGAAGTCGGTGTCGTCCGTCCTCTTCTCGGCTTCTTCTTCCTTCGGTCCTTCGGTCTGTTGAGTGCCCTCTTCTTGGGCGTCCATCTCGTCCGATGTCGCCTGGTGGTCCTCTTCCTCCTCTTCTCCTGTCTTCTTTGCGGCCTTCTTCTTGGCCCTGCGGAGCTTCCCGCTCAGGTCTTCAATTTCCTGTCTGGCCTGCAAGAATGCTTCTTGCAGGTTTCGCATCTGCTCTTCCAGCATGGCGAACGCATCCTTCTTTTCTTTCAGCTGGTTAGCCAGCTTCTCAATTTTTGCCATCGTAGATGGCAAACAAACAATCTATCGCAATGAAAATTGCAATAAGATTGCTCAATATGTCCGGGTGGGTCGCAGTCGCACAAGTGTATGCTCGTGACGGCTGCTAGCTCGGAACTGACGGAACGACTGGAACAGGAACACAAAGTTCCTAAGCGAACCCACCACCTCCCCGGTCCAGGTACCCTCACTCTTTCCGGCCCCAGTGGCGGTACGTGGACTGGACGCTCCTGCAACTTGTGTTCCTGTCGGACGCAAACCCCACCCCCCAC